CTTGTTTATGTATCTCAGATTATTTTAAGTATCTCTATATTAGCATTGATGGTGAAACTTCTCTCCTGATTGCTTTGCCCTTTCCCTCGTGTCTTGACTTTTCCTTCCTGTTGGATTTATTTGTCATACTTCTTTTTTTTTTTCCCCCATTACAATTTTTCCTTCCCTTCTTCCCAATAATCCGCTTGAGAAGATGGCGACAGGAGAGCTGGGAGCCGAGACCCATTGCTCTTCTGCTGGCTCTCTGCTTCAGGGCAGCCCATGCCTCCTGGAGCCGGCGTTGCTGGCTTCACTGAGCAGGGGTGAGGTATAACTGACAGGGGCTGAGATGGAAATAGGTGAGGAATTTTCCTACAGCGGCTGCTGGCTCAGGAAGTCTCGGTGCACTCTGGCAACGTCAAACTTTGCTTTTTAATTAACGTATAGCTCCAGGAGGCTCTTTCAGTTCTTTGTGACTCCATCCCTGCAGAAGTCTTTATGCCTAAGCAATGCCTCGGAAGTGCAAATCTTTTTTGAGAAGAACTTACTTCACAACAACATTTTTCATTGAAATTCACAACTGACATTCTGTGCTAATGCACAGGCTTACCATGTCCTAGTAAAATTGTTGAAATAAAAAGTGCCTCTGAACCCTTCTCCGATTAAAAATTAAACACCTGTCAGCTTATTCAGTCACTGTTCTCCCTCTCACGTGCTTGTACCACCAAGGACAGCTTCAACATCAGAAAGCTGCTTTAAGTGTGTATCATCTTAAAAACCGAGGCTGTTCTGGATTGCCAAAAAGGATTACAAAAAGTTCAGTGCTGTGGAGTTCTCAAGTGTGAAGAAGTCCCTTTTCCCTGCACTGGGCTGCTTAGTGCTTTCAGTCTTGAAACCATCAGCTAATTAGGGTGCTGGAAAAACATGAGCAAATGTTTTTGTTCTTTTCTTTTGGTATCTGGAAAAGGATGCAATAAAGTTGGGATGTGACAATTCTTACGTGCCCTGAAAAAATCTGGGGCTGGACTGCTGATGCTCTCGACGCGGCGGGGGGAGAAGCTGAGAGCCTGTCTGAATTTCCTTGCAAATCAAGTTACTGGATAGAGGATTGTTGTTCGGGGAAATAAAATATCCACATCAAGCCAGAATGTGTATAGCTGTTGAAATAATTTTGCATTTCTTCTTTTCAAGCAATCTGGATGTCCTCAGTTTGAGTGATGCCCGTCGTGTCTCGGATTGGAAGCGGTACTTTCCTAGTGGGTTTGTGGGTTTCCTGGATGTCAAAGATGCTAACACGTTTAATGCTAAATTACAAGTACCTGAGGCTTTATGCTGTTCCATCTTGCCAGCTGCATGTACCCATAGAGCAGGGCCCTGAGCTGCTGCTGTAGCATCTGGGGCAGAAACACAACTTAAACCGTGGAGTCGGGGCACAAAACCACGGTGCCGAAGTGGACAGAGAGCCAGGTACCAGGACGGGCTGGCAGGTCTCTCTTGGTGGGAGTTTGGGTTGAGGTGGTGGTTTTTTGTTGTTTTTTTTTTTTTAGGTTTTTGAATGTTTGGGCTTTGGGTTTTGGTGGAGAAGGTTGTATTTAATGGTGGAGCAGACAGGCAAGAAAACTTCTGTTTCTAAATCTTCAAGTCTGGTGGTTGACACTTCTGCTTAAAAAAATAATGCCCATGTCTTGTGGCATAAATAAAAGCAGGTATGTCATTCTTCTCTGGAAAAAGGCCCAATTATTTCTTTTGTCCAAGGATATGAATTCAACTTCTGAAAGTATCCGTAGAACTGTTCTGAGCAAGAACTTAAGATAAGACTGGCTTATCTCTTAGAAACAAAAATATGATCTACAGATTCCTTGTAGTAGTAATGCTAGAACATCATGATGACTTTTATGTTTGATCCTTATTTTCAGTATTTCGGAGTTGTTTGTTTTTCTTTGAGCTACATTGTTGTATTCTGTACAAAAAAATAATAATCATTTATTACATTAAATCGGGCAAGAATTGAGGTTGTTTCTTATTGTAAACTGTAATCATATCATATGGGTGGTTTATACTTTCTCTGTTTTATTCCTTACCCTGCTGCAGATCATGGTGTTAAGCTTTTCATTGCTGTGGTTAGGACAAGATGCTCATTTTTAATCTTTATAAAAGCGAGCACCAGCTTTCTTGAATGATCTTAACTTAAATATCTGAAGCTTTTAACAAAACATACCAAATACCATGATGCTTTTGATTTAAAAAAAATATAATTAAAAATTATGAGAGATTGTAAAATTACAGATGGGAAGCATGGAAAATTCAGCTCCTAAGTGCTTTTTTTGTTTTGTTCCGAGATAAGGGTACCTTTTATTTTATTTGAGGGTTGTTATGGGAACTGCCTGCTTTCAGCTCTCTTGGGCAATTGCTACCAAGTGAGCACTTTCTGGGTGAACATCCCAGCACCATCAAGGATGGAGATTACTTGGACAAAGCAGATAATTTCGTGTTTCTTAGGGCTCAGGCAGAGTAAACGTGTATGCAGTACTAAAGCCAACAATCTGAAATGTTGTAAAAATATCTTCAAGCTCAAAAGTAAGCACTGTGGGGTTTGATTTTCATTTTGACTGATTAAATGATACTGGCAGCACTTCCCTTATCCATCACATCTTATGCATATAAAGTTGTAATTAGGACGGGGAACCCAAGTAAGGGCAACAATAGCTTGTTGGTGCAAATAACACTTGCAGATTTTTCTCTGCATATGTAACAGAAATTCATCCCTGGAGATGAAATGGGAACATCAGGTTTGTGTAGGATGGGAATAATGTTAAGTTTGAAATAAGAGCTGTTTTTCATAACAAAAATCTTCTATTGTTCAGAGCTGGAGAAGAATAAGCGCTGTTGGCTGGCTGTATTCCATTAAAACTTTAATTTCAAGCCGATTTATTTTTAAAGGAATAAACAAAATGGTAACGGCGACCGCAAACTTGGTTTTTACTATGTGCACAGATGAATATGAAATGGATGCTCTTCAGATGCACTAGCTGTGGGCAGCAGCGTTCGTGGTGCTTGCCTGTAAACCAGAGTGCGAGGGATGGACACCCTGTGTCTTTGCCCTACCCACCCAGAGTGCTGCTCCTATCTCCCTTGTCCCAGGACCGTGCAAAAGCCTTAGATCTGATAGGGAAAAATCCCGGATAAGGGATTTGCTAATGATTTTTCGTTGTCTACGCTTTCCTTCCCCTCGCCATGTATTTCTTGATTGCGCTGTGAAGTTTTCAGGTGCGTCTCCACCACCTCTTGCCTTAAAAGATACTGAGCTCTGACACTCAAAATTATCCAATGAATATTTTGTGTGTTTCTTCCCCTTCCTCTTCCTCTCTTCCCCTCCCAAGTTCACATCACTGGTTGACATTACAAAATCCTGAGCAGCGTGTTGCTTTAATCAGCGGAAAAGGGCAGTAATGTATTCAACTTTTTATAGCTGAAATGAGATAACACACCACATGCATAAGATGGGTTTGCGCAAAGCGGTCCCGAGATTCTCATTGTTGGAAGCTAATGGTTTAGCAGAACGGCGTGGTGGCATCTTGTGTCGCAAAAGCAAATAGAAACCAATAAATGTGACTTTATTTTTGTATTCTGTGGTTATTCGCTTGCTGGGAATATTTGAATAGAAGAGCAAGAATGGGGAACAAAAGGAAAAAATTGAGCCACTCCTCCCCTGCTGTCCATTTCCAATGTCTTTGCTGGTCCTGGGAATTCTTTTACCATTTTGTTCCCAATTTCTTTTTTTAAGGCTGTCCCTGCAATGGGGAAAATTGCATTTGCATCAGTTAGGGAAAAACCCCTTTATTTCACTAAAAGACGCAGCACTTTTTCTTTTCAATGGCAACATTTACCCTTCACCTTCGATGTTGTGAGCTAGCAAAAATTGCTTTGTCTCCTGTAGCTGGTGTGTGTGGTGAGGCAACGTTTTTGCGGTTCAGATTTCTCCGTTGTAATAATGTTGAGATTTGTAGCTCTGGTTTCTCATTTGTCTGTGTACTGTTGCGTGTCTCAGGGGGTATGGATTGTATGTTACGAGTTTTGACACTTTGAAACTTGCCTTGTACTTAAAGTTGAATATAAATGTTCTTGCTCCAGGCTAGCTAAAAAAAAAAAAAAAAAAGTGATTTAAGAACAGTAGGGTTTTCTTAGGGAAATATCAAATGACAGGGTTGGGTTTTGTGTGGTAGGTTTGCTTGTTATTTGGTTTAATTTGCCTTTTAAAATCCAACTGTGTCTCTTTTCCTCTGGCCAAATGGCTCTTATTAGCTGTAGTTGCTTGCAAGATCTACCTGCATCTTGTGTGCCTTGGCACTTGAGCGGGAGAGTGCTAATATTTCCTCTTAATGAAGTATGCTGGGGAAAGGTTGAAGAGGAATTTGGAAAATGCTGTAAGAGCAGCTGAGTAAGTAGTTGGGATGTGACAGCAAGGTGTGTCAGCCAGGTGTGTGCCAATATGTAATACTCGTAATTTGCTATTTATTAGACAGGTTACACACCTATTTCAGAACAACTAATAAACTTCTGTGACAGTTATTTTCTGTAACTTTTCCTATTTTAGGAAAAATGTGAGCAAATCTGAGGGTCAGCGCGAGAGTCCACAGCTGGAAGAGAGTCCACAACTGCGTGTTGCTTTACTAATGTGTTGTTCTTGTTTGACAGGATGTTTCGCCTTCGATTTCTTCCCATTGCGGCAGGGCTGTCTGCTGTTTCCCGGCGTTACCATGGGACGGCACATCACCCCAGGACCAGGCGTAGGCTCGTGGCGGCAGCTTTCATAGGGACAACTGCAGCAACAGCAAGTGCCAGGTTCCTTTGGCAGAGGTAATATATATATAGTTTTTATTTTTTTTTGCCTTGGACCTCATGCTGCTTTAGTCCTGTGGCAAGTACCTGCAGATGGGTTTAAGATCTGTGGGAGATTTTGTTATTGCTTGTCCTGCTTCTGCTGCATGGAAGGAATGGCTGTTGGTGACTCCCTGTGGAGCTTCTCTGCTGCTGTGAATAGTCAGAGTTGGGAAAAAGCTCAGAGCTGAAGAGTTTTCCTCTGCAGCCGTCCGCACACAGGCTCTTTGCCCTTGGCGGGGTTTGCTGCCTGCCTTCCCGCTCTGTGATGATGTTACGTGGGTCTGTGGTGTTGTGCAAAGAGAAATCGGTTGACTTGACTGAGCTGGGTGAAAACATAGTGCTTTCAGCTTCTGGGAAGGCTGCTAGGCACAGCATGCTTGGCCAGGGGATGCTACTCTGGTTTTCTTTGTGTTCTCCTGACTGCTTCATATATAAAATGTAGCAGGGGAGCAGAACAATCCATCTTTTGGTGGTAAGTTAGCTGCATGCAGGACTTAGGTGGTTTTTACGGGCCAGAGTCTGAGCGTACCCATTTGTGGGCCATGAGGCTCAAAGCTTGTTTCCATAACTGTGGGGAGAAAGGGGATATTTGTGCTTGCCTGAGGTGACCCTCGCTGAGCCCTGGGCGCATCCCACGTTTGAAATAGATCAAGGACTCCCTTCTCCTCCCTCAAAACGTGGGAGCAGTGTCACTCGAGCTCGTGGCTGCAATTAGAGTCTGAAAATAAAGCCTTTGCTGAAATCCCATCTTATTTTCATTCCAATATTTAGGTGATTTATTGCTGGCTCTGTGCTCACCTGTGTCATGGCTAGAAGACTCTAGTTTTAATGCAAGGGGGAGAAAGATGATGGTAATTGTTCTGGCTGTTCCTAGAGATGTCAAATCTTTATCTGCTAAAAGGAGTTGCTCAGGCCGAGGAAGAACACTGTGTTCCAGCACAGTGTCATCTTATGCTGCATTTTGCTAATAATCTGTGCTTATGAAGTGCCTCTTTATCTGCAGGACCTGAACGCCACTGCAGGGAAGGCTGGGATAACACCCCTTTTCAGGCAGGGAAGCGAGCGGGGTTTTTCCCACTTTAAAACATCCTCGGCATGATCGTAAAGTGGATAGGACGTCATGTCCTATGTAAAGCTGTCCCAAAGACACCGAGTTAAGAGGTTCCTCCCGCTTTTAAAAACAGCCAAATTGTCAGTTATTAGTTTTGCCTTTTATCAGGAGGAAGGTGCTTGCGGAACGCTGGTCGGGGTGATTTCTGGGAGTGATTTTTGGCTCCTGGAGTACTTGGCTGTTCTTGGAGGCCCCTGGGCTCTGTGGCCAGGTGTGACCTTACTGAACTAGGAGTGCTGATAAAAATCAGATAAAGGAGAGGGGCAGCCTCTTTGGAGTAACGTAGTCTGTGATCACCCCAGTCCTCATCAATCTGGAGAGACTGACTTGCTGTTACTATTTGTTTTTTTCTTTCCTTGCTCAGTCTCCTTTGTCTCTTATGAATTTGTAAAGCACTGTATAGAATTGTACAGACTTTGAAGTAGTTCTTTGCCATGAAATAAATCCACAATGTTGGTAACTGTGAAATAGAAGTACCTCCAGGCTTAGGAAATTAATTCAGTTAATTACTTGGCTGTTAAATATGAGGGGGAACAAAACTGATATGTTGGTGTAGAAAATACTTCATACTGACACCTGTAGAAGTTTTAAACAGACTTTCAAATAGGAATTTTAACATTGTGTTTAAATAACTGAGGGAGGAGGAACTGCAAATTTCTTTTGTCTTTCACAATATATAAATTGGGTGATCGGTAGAGCTTAAGAATAAGCGTAGGTGAATACAGAATGTTTGTGATGGCATCCTGGGTTATTCAGGTAGTTACATCCTGAGTTATTACAGTAAGTAGCAGTAAGTATAATGAATTAGTTGTAAAAGGTAAATAGGTAATACGTGTAGCCAGGGTGCAGGGATCGACTAAATCAAGTATCACAGAAAATGTAATGTATAGACTACAGAGAGAAATGTCCATGTGCATCTGAGTATTTACACTTAGTAGTAAGTGAACTTGATTTAATAAATGGTGCAGTGGTATTTAAATGGAAAGCAGGTTAGGGAGGTCCTTTGCATAACCAGTTCTGTTGGGGCATGACCTGTGATGCTTGTTTACCTTCGGTTGGTGAAGCAACCTGCTTTTGTTGTGATGTGAAACTCTCCTGTGCTGCACAGTTAGCTTCTGAGGGGTCCAGCAGGTCCTAAGCGTGGCTTTCTCCTACTTCTGATGATGGTGAACCTTGCTAAAAGGGTTTTATATGGTGGTGCCTGTATGTGAACTTAGCCTTTCCACTATTTAGCATGCAGACAGACAGGACTTCTCAGGCGGTTTTGGACTGTCCTGCGCAGCCTGAAACCAGTGTATTTCAGATTGATTCTGTAGGATGTGCTCTGAGCAGCATCAGAAGCCAGTGCTGGGAAAAGGAAGCCTACACAGAGGTAGAAGAGACATCAATGATTGAAGAGATGTATATAAAAGTGGTTGTATGATGCAAGATAGGAAAGATTTATTTTGTGTCTTCCTAGGGTGGGAGCTGGGTTGGTGGGATCTGGATCTGCGTGTAGCGTTGTGCATAGCCGTCCGTTGCAGGCGAGTGTTGGTCTTGTTGCCTTTGCAGTCTTCCAGGAGCTCCTGCTGCCTGCTTTTGGTGGAATATCTCTCATCTAAATAATTACACTACAGGAGTAGCTAACGCTGCTGTCTTCTGCTGTGGTGAAGAATACTTCAGCAATGCGAATAACTGAGCTTAGAAGACTAATGAAGTTTACCCTTTCTAAGCAATAACTTAAACTCTGAGGATTTCCAGCTGGCAACAGAAGCATTTAAGTATCTGGGCATTGGTATAATGAACTGAATTAATTAATTGAAATAAATCTTGGCCCAATCATTGGCTAATCTAAATGAGTCATTAATATATGAGAAGTACTGAACCTCACAATTTGCGGCAAGCTTAATGTTTATAAAAAATACTGTGTTACTGATACTAGTGTAGAACTTGTAATTCTGTATTTGTAGTTCCAAATACCTGTTTGGAGTGTTATTAAGTGGCCGCTGATACATTCTATGTCATGCACCTTCCTGGCTGAATCTGTGGGCAGCAGGCATCTGAAAGCACTTAAATTGGCATTTCAGTGCTGAAGCTTGTCGCTCAATCAGCCTGGTATTGAATGAAGTAAGGGAGCAAATGTACCTTTGGGGAGCACAGAAGGATCTCTGTAAGCAGAGGCTTACCACTGCTCTTCCTGATTGACTGGAAGTATTTAGTTATACTTAATTTCTTACCTTTCCGCAAATATATTGGCGGTAAGAATAAGGGCAAGACATCTGTGTTGCTCTGGAAGTTGCTTAACAACAAGATCCTTTGCTACCAGCATGTTTGTGTCTAATGTGGTACCCAGTCTTATTTTGCTGCCTCCCCTTGGCCTTATTCTGTGCTCTTCTGCCTTTTGCTCCATCCTGTGCATAAGGCGAAGCAATTAGGCTTGAGATACCACCAGGGCTCGGAGATGGGTATATTCTCACTTTGTTACAAGCTCTTTTTCAGGCTCTGCTCCTTGACAGCAAACTGAGCTGTTTTGGTGCTGGCTGCCACTTCTGCAGATTTCATTCCATCTTTATCAACCCTTCCTCTCTTTCTCCACCCTTCTCTCCTTTGGCCACCCTGTATCAAGTGCCCAATTGCTTTACTGGAAGATCCTCTGTAGGAAAGACCCTTTGTCTTCCTTGCTCTGCTGACCTTCACTGCTTTTTGTGTTTGGCTTTTCTCCATCAGCGCTTCTGGAATTAATTCTGAAGCCTAGATCAGCCTTTAGCTAACTCTGTTTAAGAATGCCTTGCTTTTTTGCATCAGTGTCTTTGGGGCTTTAGAGTAATTTGCTTAGAATATATTTTCAGTGGCAGAATTGCTGGAAATATCTTATGCCAGCTGAAACTGAGACTTGAAAAATCTTTGTTCTGGTAAAACAAAGGAAACCACATAAATCATAATCAAGAGGGGAGAAACCTGTTTTATAGCTATAGATGTGTCAGGTACTGCTTAACCTGATGTAGGAGAGAAAAGACAAAAAAAAAGTGAGTATTATCCATGTTAGGTTATTTTTATTTTGAGACCTCTGCTCTGTTTTTTTTAATTCTTTGTGAGAGATGACAGACTTAAGAGACTACCCTTGGGATTGCTGTGCTGAAGGCTTTCTCCTAAGGCTTGAAGATACATTGATCTGAGTGGTGTCTTCAAAGAGCACTGTGTCCTTTCAGGTGGCTTTTGGCTTCATATTGTTTTTACCCATGAGTATCAGGCGAAGGAAAGAATCTGATGCCAGGGAATAAGCCAAAGTCAAAACCAGAGTCAATTAGGAAAACATCTGAACTGCCTGGGAAGGAGGAAATGACCTTGGCTGACCTGCAGAGCTTAAAGAACAGGTATTGCCCTAAGCCTGCCAAGCCCTACAGTTTGATCAGTGTATGTTCACTGATTTCTTATTTAAATATTGCATGGCAAATCAGAGCTGGGATTTGTGCAGAGAAGCCAGGTGGAAATGGACGAGACTGCTTCCCGAATAGTCTTGGTTTGCTGTGACTTTATGGGGACTACACTTTGGATCCTGCCTCTCAATAGGATAATCGTTGCTTGAACCCTGGGTCTTTAATGTCACTGAAAATGGCACTTTTTAAACTTTTTTTTAAAAAAAATACGGGTGCCCTCTGGTGGTCAGGTCCGTGCCTGCTGTCTCCCCTTTGCTCCAAATGACTAAAAATACCTGCTCACCTTGCCTTCATCCCCAGGAGCACATTGGCTGTCCTCCAGTAGCTGTCTGGAAAGCAGCCTCTCTCCGAGGAGTCACATCATTTGGGAGTGGAGTAGAGGGAATAATTTCCTGACTCGATAGAGGAAGCGCAGAAGTTGTAACTATCACTTAGTTTTGATTAGTTCC